AAACAGGCCTCTGTACTGGGGGATGAGGTGGGGAGTGCCAATGAAGCTTTGAACCTTGCCCTGTGTCAGTTGAAGCACAGGGTGTATCAAGGGATACCAGTGCATCCTGATTCCCTCCCTTCAAATGATGTCAATGGGACTCAAAACATTCAACCAATGTATTGAAAGTGTTCCTTCAGGTAGAGTCCCTTCACAATCTGATTTAGCATGTGGTGGGGTGCTGCACATGACAGCCATGGAGGCAGGGCTAATCCCATGACCCCTGTGACCCCCTCACACATTATTTCAATTCCCCCCACTGTTGTTACTACTCGTGTTGACCAACAGAGCAGCTATCAGTGCTGCACAGGACCTGCAAAATCTGATCAACGTATTGTGATGGATGCATTCAACAAGGTGCCTTAAGTTTTTCAAAGCGCACTATTGTCTGGCGGCATGCAATTTGGGAATCTAATTTGGGCTAATCCCAGTTTAGCCGACGCTCAAATTAAGTCCTAATGGCTACAAATGCTTCTGTCTTCTTTTCATGGCCCCGTGCCTATTACTCTATCACTGCTCCTTAATAACCCACACAAAACAAGGAACAGCACATGCTTTGCACTACCTTAAAAATACATTGTATATTATGCAGAATAATTGGCTCAATGTGGGTGGATACAAAGCTATTGAGGGTGGCTGTAGGGCTCAGCAAAGCCACTTTGCCTGTGTTCTTTCATCCTTTGGGCTGGCACAGCAGCTGTTACCTCTGCAGCACCACAGCCGCTTTCCCAGGCACTAAATCTGCATGACACTGGATTTCCTCCTCCTCATACCCAGCTGCTAAATCCTGGCAAGGAGCCACCTTTCTTTGTGAAGGAGGTGTAAAGAGACCCCCTCCATAAAATTATTATGGGGTGTCACATTTTTGTATTGGGTAAATTTTGTCAAAACTGTCCTATTTGCGTACTCCTGAAATATTGTGTGTGTGCTTTCGCTTCCTTCTTTTGGAAACTAAGGAATTAAATAATTAAGAGTGCACAGCCTCTATACATTTACTTATGAGGAAGTGTCAGAGAGTTGCATGGTGCTTTCTCACATATACCTAGGAGTCAGTTCTATGCAACTCAATGGAACTTACTTCATTGTAGACATATGCACTATTGTGCCACAAAATAAATACTGCTAAGTTGCGGCACTGAGTATATTTTGATAATATTTAATGAAGGTAATCATTTATCTGGCATTAAAAATAAGCCTGGGACAAGGGAGGAGAGCCATCATAAATACCTTGCTAGACTCAAGAGATGGGGCTATTTGAATAATGCGGTTGACACTGAGCACTGTTCCACCATGAACAATCTCATTTAAATCCCTTTAAAAGCTGCAGTTAATGACTTAATTTATCAACATGCTTATCTCATCACACTCCACTCATATTGGCCCTAGTCTTTTCGCAAGTATGCACCACCAATAACTCACATAACTTCTACATTAAGATGCCCTTGTTCATGCAGTTAAAGAAGGCATGGATACTTGGTCAGAGGAAGCAATGCTTCTGAACACCAGCTCTGTCCTGATCCGACGAGGAGGCAAAAAGGAGACCGCTATCCCCCCAGCCGTGCCGTGATTTAAACAGCAGTGGCCACGCCCCCAACTAACCAGATTGGTCAGCTGGGGGCGTGACATGGCTGGGAGTCCCAATGATGCGGGCAGCATCTCTCCGCCCACTGCCGGGTCACTGGGAGGCCCCGGATGTCTTCCTGCAACTCCATCCCCTGGGGAAGGGGAGTGGTCTTGCTGAAACTCACAGGAGGAGAGAGGGTTCTTGTGCCCAGTGGGGTGTAGTGGTTAAGAGTGGTAGACTCGTAATCTGGTGAACCGGGTCCACGTCCCCGCTCCTCCACATGCAGCTGCATATCTCTATGCTATGTGAATGGTGCCACTGACCACCTGGAGAGCCCGTTTGGTGTAGTGGTTAAGAGCGGTGGATTTGTAATCTGGGGAACCGGGTTTGCATCTCCACTCCTCCACATGCAGCTGCTGGGTGACCTTGGGCTAGTCACACTTCTCTGAAGTCTCTCAGCCTCACTCACCTCATAGAGTGTTTGTTGTGGGGGAGGAAGGGAAAGGAGATTGTTAGCCGCTTTGAGACGCCTTAGGGTAGTGATAAAGCGGGATATCAAATCCAAACTCCTCCTCCTCTTCTTCTTCTTCTTCTTCTTCTCCTCCTCCTCAGGTCCTGCTTAAAGGTTTCCCACAGAGTGGCCACTGTGAGAACAAGATGCTGGACTAGATAGGACATTAGCCTGATACAGCAGGTTCTTCTAATGTTCTTAGATGTACTCCGAGGGCATGATTTTTGGATCCTGCATATATTCACTGAGACTGATACAATGTCAGTTTGTTTTTGTTTGCAGTAGAGGAGCTGAGTGTGATAACAGCCTTTCCTGTTGTGATGCACTGGGTTATTTGTGCGTAATTGGCTCTGTAAAAAAGCCTTGGGACAATTCTAATATCTTTTCTTTATTATTATTCATGTGCAGAAGTCACCCCCACAGTCCAAAGACGCTTAATGTTAAAAACCTGAGAAATATACCTCATAATTCATGCAGAAAAATAGATAAGCAAACTATTATGTTATTTGTGCCTTAAAGGACATAGGCATGAATGCCTTTTGTTTTCAGACAACAGTACTTATGACTTGCTATCATCAAAGCTGTAGAAGTTGTGCTATTAGGAGCTAAACAAGCTTTCCGCATGGCGATGGGTTGGTAACCCCTGTGGCTTGGCCAGGTTCCAAACTGCCAAATCATATTCTGACTTCAAATATCTGTATTTCCTCTGTAATCAAAAAGGAAGAAGCCATGCTATAATTTTATTCCTAAAATAACACTGCGGTATTGCTCACACAGAATGCCTATTGTACTCTATGACTGAGGGACCACAGAGATCACTGTTATTAGTTCTCTATAGATGTAGGTTCAGTCATTTGAGGACCTCTTTGACATTCTCCAATGAAGTCATAAATTGCAACTGGCTATGAAGATAGATCAGTTAGTAAATATGCAAGTACATGATCATGATTAATACTCTGCTCTGTAGTTTGGTTAATTTTCACAGTTTATAATGGTCACATTTATACTGAGACATTTCCAGTGGTGTATATTTTTCAGGTACCGGTATTTATCATAACAGAAGCCAATTCAAAAATTACTCCAAAGACCAACTATCCCAATGAGTCAGAAAAGGACTAGTTTACATGAGCTCCTTGTAGTCCTTGTGTGGGCACACATATTCTTTGTAGCATTATGAAATAATGTGTTTCAATTTTCCAGTTTTAATGTAGGAAGAATCCTCAGTCTTATAGCTATAGATGCTTGAAAAATATATGTGGCAAAATGCAATTGCAAAAACTGCAAGGGACCCAGAAGTCAAAAGAAATATCTGATGAGCTAGGCTTGTCATGTGTGTAAATCTCTCATACAACTGGTTGTCTGGTACATAATTGTAGGTTAACTTCTCTGCAGATAGACAAAAATATGTAAACACATTGTAACATGGATGTGTATTAACAGACATTTTCATAGCTGAATACATATATTGAAATCTCAACTTTACCGGTGCTGTGGTGATATAAGCTTCCATTAGAAATAATTTAGCTTTCATCCCAGAAAGTTGACTTACTTCACCGGTTATTATTTATGGGTGTATATTCATCTGCATATTTATAAACAGCTTCACAACCAAAAGCTACCAAAGCAGCACACAATAAGAATAAATAAAAGCAATAAAATCACTTCTACAATTGTAGAATTAATGTTCTATAAAATTACTGGATCGTACAGTAATCTGGAGATTTGAAATGTCCATTGTTTGTCAGCCACATACGAATGAAGGCATGTCGTATTATATAAAGGAGAGAAAGGAATAGTACATTTGAATTAGAGCTGATACCAGATTTCATCTAAAGAGGATTTTGAGGTGAATCTGCAGTATTGCCTGGAAAAATAACGTTAGACATTTTGAAGGATGTGTGTTTTTCATTGTGATCAGCAGCATTTTTCAGAAGGCCTTTTGCATATCTAGGATTACCATCTTTTTTTATACAAAGGAGCTTTGTATGAGAGGCTGAATATCAACATCTGTAGCTTTCCATCATCAATGCAACTTTGTACTAAAAAAAAATATGTTTCCCTGATTATTATTTTTCCTATAGAGCTCTTGAAATTGTGGTGACTCCGTTCATAAGAAAGGGCTGTCACAACCTACTTAAACAGGGCAAAAGCAATATAAGGCTCTCAGTAGACCATTTTTGCACATAGAGAAAAACAAGTAGCCTTTTCCCCAAAACATTTCCATATTTATTGATTCTTTATTAATATGTATATACCGCTTATGAAGTAAGATCCCTAAGCTGTGGGAAGGCTGCTCTCTGGATTGCATTGCTCATGAATATATGAAGCTGCCTCATAATGACACAGGTCATGGGTCCATCTAGCAAAGCACAGTCTACTCAGATAGGAAATGATGGCTTGAAAATGCAGGTAACGTGCACAGTCTTTGTTATGTAAATAGCCATTGAGGGGAAGACAGAGCAGTCGTCTTAGGGCTCATCCACATTTCTTCCTTCCATGCCGCTTGCCCTCAAGAAAACCCACTGTATACTGATGAATCTGAGAAAACATCAGTCAGGTTTTCTCCAGACTGACGTTTGCTCCAATTTAGCACTAAAGAGCAGGTTTTCCAGGGGAAAGCAGTAGGGCAAAGGCAAAACCGCGTGTTCCCATGCCTAGAAAGGGCAGGACACATGGAAAACTGCTTGGACCTGTGCTTTCTAGACGCAGGACAAGCATAAATGTGGAGGAGCCATCATCAACGTGCAAGGTTGGATGTTGGAGCTTAACCTTTCCACAGTACAGTAATGCTTACCCCATCTTCTGATTTCATAGTATTATTATTTATTTGTCACATTCTACAACTATTCCCTTTCAAAGCTGCTATTTACATTTCAAGGGAAGATGGGCCTGATAGCTCAGTTGGTTATAGCATGGTACTGATAATGCCAAGGTCACAGGTTTGATCCCTGTATAGGACAGCTGCATATTTCTGCATTGCAGGGTGTCTAGTCTCATGATCCTCAGGAGTCCCTTCCAATTCTATGACACCTATGAGATCCCATGCCACCGGAAGAAGCCCCCTTGCCATCCATATAGCTTCTTCAGAGAGTTCTATTATTATTATTATTATTATTATTATTATTATTATTATTTTATTGCATCCCAAGGTGGCTCTGGATTCCCTGTGGCTGCTATTTGCATGAATAGCACCTTCATGCAATTTATGTCTGGATTTGGTCTTCAGAGAGAGGTCTTTTTCATCTCTCTGGAGGCAGAACTAGACGTTATAAAAATCATGGACTGCCATTAAAAGAAATGCCTCTGTGCTGAGTTCTCCCTCTCTCCTCCTGTACTGTAGTAATATTTACACAGTGAAATAATCAGGTTTCTGCATCTCTACCAATGATGTAGCAGCTAGTGATGTGGAGTGGGACAAGGAAATGCAGAATGTTATGGATTCAGGATGTAGGATAAGCAATACTGAACTTCTGAGGGGATAGTAACAAGAGTGGAGAATGTTGTACTGGCGTCAGTATTCAGTGGGAGTCCCATTTCCCCCTAACATCTCGTTCCAAAGAGAGATTTCTTCAATTGCAAATGTTAGGGATTTAACTAGTGTGCAAAGCTGCTGTACCACTAACCTAGCACTCCTCCCAACTAAGCTACAGTCCTTATTATTTACTATGGTCCAGGAAGGACCAATGGGTTGGAGATACCACAGCTCTGGTGCAGGAAAATTCTGGGGAAGAAACTCGTACTTGTGATTCCCATAGGTAGAACGACCTTTATATTTATATAACTATTTGATTGATGCCATGCCAATGTTGGGAAAGTAGCAAGCTAAATATAACCACCCTTTATGAACACTAGGTTAAAATGGGGGGTACTATTATTGCAGTGGGTTTCTGTTTCTAAAATTATGTGCAATTCATAGCAGGAACGTATTATTTTCTAGAAACTCTCAGTGAACAGCTTTGCAGATAGGACCATCGCTCAGTGGTAGAGCATAAGTTTTGCAATCAGAAGGCTCCAGATTAAATCCCCACCCCTGCACAGCTTCTCAAGGCTGGGCTGGGAATGTTTCCTGTCACTGCCAGTCAGTGTAGACAGTGGTAGGCTAGATGGACCAGCGATCTGATTTGGTGTTAGGCAGATTCCTAACATCTTGCAATGAGGATGACAGACAGGGCACAACCTTCTGCGAATCTCTTGTTCATCTCAGGTCCCATGAAAAGGAATGGAAGCGGTTGCACAACGCATCTCCACTTTGGCGGGGCTTACACAGCAATAACTTCCCAGTGGATTGAACCCATATTGTACAAGCTCAGTTTTGGCTCGTATTCTTTACCCCAGCTAATATTTCCTATGGATTCCCCATCTGTGTGTCTCTGCATCCTCCTCCCACTTCCCCGTCCTTAACAACCCCTTTGCTGCATCCTTTGTACATTTCCAGGGTTGTTTGTTTTCTAGGTCACTCAGCTCTGCTTTGGTCCCCGCTGCTCTTGCTGCCTTTTTCTAATCTCCTTCCCAGACTGAACTCATTTCCTTTCCTGGCCTTAGTCCTCGTGACCCTTTCCAAGCTTCCTTTACACCTGCCCAGAGCTATTTTCCTGCCAAACTCAGAATATGGCAATTATGCTTTGAAAGCATTTAATCAAGCCAAAGCTGGAAGATGCAGCAAATGATAGCATTTCCTTCCCTTCCCCCCTTTCTTCCCTCCTTGTGTTCATGCATGTGCATGTATGTAGGTATGAGTGTGTGTTTGTAGATAAGAGAGCTGAGCTCTCTTTGTCCTGGGGATGAAAATAATAATAAAAACGGGTGACATTCATAAGCCCTGAAATATTTTGCACATGAGCAATAATTAAAGGCTGGGTAATATAATCCATTGCTAATATTGTTTCAATTGAATATACTTCCCAAACTCTTCTCATTAGAAATGATGTTCTTGGCACTTCAACTGCAATGCAGTATGATCCTAGATTTTTTTCTTCCTTGGATTGCTCGGTATTTACTTGTTTGTTTACAGGTATGTTCACACACACACACACACACACACACACACACATTGTATACACAGAGGACTGGGATAGTGCGTACAGTTCATATCCCAAATGTCTGTTCATTTAATGTTAGTTTGAAAGGGACCTGCTGTACATGGATGAGTTTTACACACATTGACCCATGCATTTGTAGCCTGTCTTCACAAATGATTTAAAAGGAATGGGCATCAGGGGCATGATGAGAGGGGAATATGAGCATCCTCACAATTTTCAGTAGCCTTAACAAACTACAGATCCCAGGATTCTTTGGGGGAAGCAGTGGCTGTTTAAAGTGCTGTGATGGTGCTTTAAATGTCTGGCACAGATGGGACCTCAAACTGAAAGCAGGAGAAGACCACAATAAATACACATTGAGAAATTCCTCCCACCCACCCACCCCTACACATTCCTATGGAACTTCATGACTTGCTACAATTAGTAACAGGAGGTTTGGTGTTCTGGTAATGAAATAAAAAATTCCTCTTTTAAAATTAAGGGTGCTGTTATGTACTAAGCTAGGATCCCAGAATATTTCAGATGCACACAGATGGCTTTTTAACCAAGCATTCTACTGTACATCTGCACCTTGTTAATTCTTTTTCACATTTCACAGGATCATATAGATTACCAAGCTACCCTGGTTTGGTAATCCGTGTGCACTCAACCAGTTTGTCTAGTAGTTTCATGCACACTGGGGTGGTTTCCAGTTAATAAATGGTTGTCTCTGGCTCCTTTCATCATCATTAACTGCATTAGTAATAAATTATAGCAGTGTAGACTTGGCCCATTTGCAAGGGGAGATCATCATTCCATATTTGGGAGAATATCAAGTTATGAGTGGTAAAGCCATGAGCTACTTCCAGGCAGCAGCCCCAGCAGTGCATGTGAGTTTCTCTCTCCCCCCCCCCCCACATGCCCTCCTTATTAAAGTGGGGCAATGCTTGTCGTTGATCTCAGTTTGATCAGTTAATACATTGACCTTATGTTACACCACTATCACTGAGGTCCTCTGATGGAGGTTTTCTTGTGGTTCTGCACACCCCTGAAATTGGGTTGGCCTCTACTTAGCATGAATGACCCTGCCCTGTGGAACCAGCAGAGGTTCAGTCGGAATCATCCCTGCCTTCTTGTATTCAGAAAAGCATTTGAGATGTGAATTTCTATTACCAGGCAACATTTAATTTATGCTTCTACTGATCTTATTTTGGTGTTGCATTCTTAGGCATACCACTGTGTTGTCTTTTTCATCAAAGTGTGGTGTTTAAACATTTAAATAAATAAACAATTCCCTGAATTTTATTTCTCAGAAAAAGAAAGGGGGGGGGGGAGATGGCTATTTCACCAATAGCAGCACCAGGCTGAGAGGAATGTGGGTATTTTCACTAAAAACAAAAGCCCTGAAAGGCAATCAGTCCCCTGTGCACATGTTTAAGGGGGAGGGGTGTCTCATTATGTTCTTGTCACTTTCAATGAATATATTCCTTTGTGCAAGGAATCTAGCCTGAATTAATCCCAGAGTGATTGTGTTTTCCAGATACTGTGTGTAGATTTAGTAGATTTTTACAGGAAGGTCCACACTTAACAGAGTTTAAATCAAACTCTTATCTTATATCAGCAGACAAGCTATATGACTTCACGGATATTTGCATGTGTAAAAAGCCTCTTGGAATGCAAATAGATGTGTGGGAGAGGACTTGGCTATTTGCATATGCTATACACAAGTGCATATTTTTGTCACGTTTGCATTTTGCCGCTGTGCCTTTTGCTGTTCCTGAGGCATATTGAACTCATCAGACTATATCCCCCTGAATTCCTAGACTGCATATTGTTCTGTGTATTCCTGCTGCAAAGTCAACACCTGCTTGTTGAAACTGAGAAAATCAGCTGCCTGGTTTCCCAGAGCTGAGATTAACCAACATCCTGTTTTTAAACTCCAGTCTCTGTTTTTGTAATGGAGCAACATAAAGATTCTCCAGAATAAATCTGAGATTTGAACCTCTATGCCCCTTGTTCCTTCTCATTTAAATAGATTGTCCTGTCATATATTAATTGAGGATATAACTATGTACAACAGGCACAAACTGTAACAGATAAAAGGGTGCTTCAGTCTGCTTTGCTATTACACTAAAATTTAATACCTCTTATAATACCTTCCATAATGGGCACTAAGGAACAGTTTATTGAATTGGTGTCATGAAGTGGCAAAATGTTTTCTAGGCTACAAAACTTCAAGCTGCAAGCATGGACAGGTGACAAGACTGAATGTCTCCCCATGAAAAATGAAATTCTCAGTGTACATAGAGACTACCAGCACCTCAAGGGCAAGCTAGCCTAGTCTCATAGCCTGCAATTTTTCTACAAGCAACGATGTTTCTTCCTTCAGGGGCCATTCAGACATGAAACACCCTCTTTTCCACAACACGCACACACAGCCTGAATTGGTATAGTATAGGCCATGATAAGTGTCATCCCATGAGTCCTTTGTGAGTCCAAATTGGACCCAATAGAATATGATCTTTGTTATAACTTAAATAAAACTTGAGAGTTCCCTGTGAAGATGGATTTGATCATTAAACCACTCTGAGAATTGTAGCTCTGTGAAGGGAATAGTGGTCTCCTAACAACTCTCAGCACCCTTAACAAACTACAGTTCCCAGGATGCTTTGGGGGAAGCCATGCCTGTTTGGAGTCAGGTGATACTGCTTTAAATGTGTAGCGCAGATGCTGTCTAGTTAAAGTCTGCCCTTAAACCATGTATTTTTAAAATATTAAAAAACCACACACACACACACACACACACACACAGTGATCTGCTGATGAAGTGTGTTTCTGTAACGGTAGCCCTCTTCAGGAATTCTGCACTAGGTTTAGGTCAATATGTGAGCAACAAGAAAACAGTTACCTCTTTCCTCCACCCATCATTGTTCCAATTGCCT